TAATCAGCAGAATTGCCAAACTGAATTACTTTTTCGAACTATTTTCAAAACTTGCAAAGTCGGTTCAGGATTTTTCGGAAACGTAGTCGAAAAATTTTGTACTTTTCTGCTAATTTCATAGAAAGGTATTTGGGAAGATCGTGTTGCATAAAACTTATCCATGCAAATCCTTATATGAGCATCAATTGGCTATTGATTGAAGAAATTGGTATAAATGTTTTTGAAAAAAACGTCGTCAACAAGTCAAATTTTATAGCATACATACACACATGCACATGTTTTGTCTAATTTCGGTGTCAAGCACAAACTTCTTCGGCAAGTTAACAAAGCATGAAATATATTTTCATAAACTTCAAATCTTTCTTAAAGATATCGTCTATTACCCGACGTCCTAAAAGTGACTTCATTCAATTGATCATAATTGATCATAAAGCAATTATTACTTTCCGCCCTCTGGTTGTGGTTAATGACCCGTTTCTGCTTAAAAATTAAGTGGATAAGTATCGTTAAAAATAATTATTATTATCAAAGTTGAAATCAAAAACTTGAGAGTTGTAATTACGGCGAGTTATCACGCTTTACCGGTTGCGATCTTGATGTGTTTCCTGATACAAAGCCGAAACGGTTCAAAACTCATGGAAAAGCATAAAAGTATAACGTTATATCCCGAGGGCATATGTCAAACACATTTGTCCTGGAAATTCTATTAATAATAATGAAAGAGTAATTACATTCTTGGAGCAGCAGGCGTGATATTTGATACATATTGCTGATTGATATGGAATGATTAATTCTTAAAAATGCTACCTGTATTATTCGAGAACATTTATTTTTTGAGCAATAAAGGTCAATAATTTGCGTTTATTAAAAAAAAAACACATGTGCTAATTTCATGCCTGCAGAATTCTAGTTATTAACTTCCCGTAGGGCAAGTTATAGAAGTAATCGCAAAAAAATCAAAAATGAAAATTTTATATATCTTTTGATTTGAATAATTCAAAAAAACATCCGATTCGTACTGATAAGTAGACGTGCTGATTAGTCCGATTTGAATAATTCAAAAAACAATTTACTTGTATTAAGAATATGGAAAACTGATCAAATTTTTATGAAGGCAGGACTAGCGGTTTCGGAGATCTTGTAAAAAATGTATGAAAGATGCCATTTGGCGGTCAAAAATGATCATTAGACATATGCACATCAAGTTATCAGATATTTTATAGAGATTTTAACAATAAGTATAAATTTTGTTTACATTCCTATGGGTTCCGTACCAATGTTTATCTGTTAGACGGCAACGCGGCGCTTACGCGCTTTGATATTTCGTCTCTATGCAGTTAAAGCAGTACGATTGCTTTGAAAAAAAGTTCAGAACTTCCAAAATATTTCAAAATATTTTTTTTTTTTCAAAAAGTCTTTTTTCAAAAAAAAGTAAATTTTTGTCAATAATTTATAGTTTCTCAAGAATCTAATTTTTTCAGAGTATTTTTTTTTTCAAAAATGTTAAGCTTTTTTTAATATTTTTTCGTACGGGAAGTTCCAGCAATTTGCCTTAAGGCACGATGTCATGTGCACCACTAGTTTTGATTGAAAATTGAAAAAAGTAAACAACTTTGACTTTTCTCCGACCTTTGTTAAAAGGGACTGGACAGATTTTAAAAATTCACCTAATAAACATTCAATGACACTCGATTATATAAGTCGCAATCATCGATCCAGCCTTTTTTACAATTAGCACAGAAGTGCAGAAAATTTCGACCGCGTTTTTGCCAAAGATCTTTATTTTAAGAATTCAAAAAATGTTCAAAAGATATAAATTTAGGAATCATGCTGATTAGTTTTTGATTTAAATCTTCCAAATTGTTTCTTCATAATTAATTGTTAAAAAGAATTGTTTGCTGTTTCTGACAAAATTTACTAAAAATTCATAGTATGTAATAAGGAACATTTGAAGCAAAAACTTATTTTAGAATTAAATAGTTGAAATAATGATACAATTTCTAATTTAAAATTTGAATCCTAATTCTAGTTGATTAGGTTGATTATTTACACAAACGGGAAGTTTATCCAACTTGCTTTCACAGTCGAGTTTCGGCAGCCGTAGTGAGCACATCGTTCAAAATATTTATTTAATAGTATAATTTTGATTGTAGTGAATAGAAGAAATTATAACGGGTTATTATGAATACCGAGCCACCTGACCCGGGTGGTGAGTCACAATCGTTATCAGATGTTGATATAAATACAAGTAGTGAAAGTGAATTGGAGTGGGATAATAATACATATTACGTCACAGAAGGTGACAAAATTCATTGGGTAAATGATACTACTAATATTAGAGATAAATCGGGAATAATTAATAGGAAAGATGGTGAAACATATAGAATTTATAATGAAAATAATGTAATGACTGGTAATAATTCAATAAATGACAGATCGGAAAGTACAAAAAAAAAGTTAAAAGCAGATGTAATTGAAGAGGCAAATGCAAATCAAACTAGTGCTAATAATTCAGTAGTAAATGAAAACAATGAAAACAATAATAATTGGTATAATATGTGTGTAAAGGACATGGAAACTATTAAAGAAATGAAATTTTATCAAGAAACGGATGAAGGCCCATTCATAGTGCATGCTGAGAGTAAAGATAAAAATATTGGAAGATTTCACCCAATGGCAGTAGGAAGAATCTTTCATAAACATTTAATAAATTTGAGTAAAGATATAGAAGAAATCAGATCAATCGGTAAAAATAAAATAAATATAGTATTGAAAAATTATAAGAGTGCAAATAGAATAATAAGAGAAAATTTATTAGAAATATTTAACATTAACGCATATATACCTAGACACAAATTAATGAGATCGGGAATTATCTTTGATATTGACCCAGAAATAGATGAAAAAGAAATATTGAGCAGTATTCGAAGTGATTGTGAAGTTTTGGCAATTAAATGTTTAAAGGGTAGAAAAATAATGAAACAAAAAAGGTTAGATCACAACGAGTCAAAATTGTATTTAGAGGTAATAAATTACCGGAAAGAGTTTATATACATTCAGTGAGTTGTAGGGTTGAACCATTTATTCAGAAAGTAATACAGTGCCACAATTGCTGGAGGTATGGTCACGTACAGGCCCAATGTAAAAGTAAAATACGTTGTAAAAAGTGTGCAGAGGAACATAAAATGGAGGTATGTAAAAGTGAATTAGTGATATGCGGTCTATGTTATCGAAATCATCTAGCGGATGATAAAGGCTGTGAGGTTTACTTAAAAAATAAAAAAATTAAAGAGATTATGGCAATGCAGAATATAACATATTCCGAAACAAGAAAGATAGTGCAAAACAATGGATACGCTGAAGCAGTTGGTAACACCAATCAGTTTAAAACATATGAAAGTAGTTACCCAGAAATCATTAATACCACTGCACGGAATTCAAGTACATCAAGTAGTAATAGGTATCAAATACTATCAAATTGGAAGGAAAAAGAAGAATATTATGACAAAGAAGTGTTAATGAGAATAAATAAGCCATATAATAGGAATAATATGAGAAATTTTTACAACAGAAATTTTGAACATCGGTCAGGGGTAGATTTAGTAGAAAGAAATGATAGTACTAACTCAAACAGAAGGAATAAAAGAAATGAGATTAGAGAAATATCAACTGCACGGAGGATACAATTGAGAAGTGATATTATGAATATAATTAAAAAACTAGAGGATCAGAGATATGGGATAGATGTAAATAAAGAAGAAATATGAATTTGATAAAAACAAAATTAGAATTAGTTTTAGAAAGTTTAGGTAAAGGTAGTGAAAAAAAATCATTAGAAATGGTTTATTCTGAAGGAATTGATTAATTATTTATTTAGCAAAGATTAATGTGTGAGTATGTAGGTATAAATTTAAAATTTAAAATTTAAAAATTATATATATACATATAAATATATAATGAAAAAGAAATAATAAGAAGATAGTTAAGGTTCTATTGTATTTATTTGTTTATTTGGTTAAGTGATGTTAAATTAATTAATTAATTATTGTTATTAATTTTTATATATAAGGATTAAATTATGAGAATAATGCAATGGAATATTAGATCGTTTTATGCAAATAAAGAAAGTTTAGAAGAGTGGTTATATAATAAACAATTAGATATAATAGCATTATCAGAAACCTGGTTCAATAAGAACAGGCAGTATAATCTAAAAAATTTTAATTGTATAAGAAAAGATAGGAACGATAATAAAGGAGGGTCGGCATTATTTATAAATAAAAATATAGATAGTAGGGAATATGAAATAAATTTTGAATCAGTCGAAGATAATAATTGTCAAATGTGTGCAGCAGAAGTTAACGTTAATAAGAAAAAAATTTATTTGATATCATTGTATGTTGTTCCCAAAACGAATATTTCAAAAGAGCAATGAATAGTATAACATCTAATATAATGATATAGTAGTAACTGTAAAATCCCAAAACCTTGTATCATAATGGGAGATTTTAATGTTCACCATTATGCGTGGGGTTGCTCATATAGTGATAGATATGGTAATGAACTATTGGAATCAATTGAAGAAAACAATTTATATTTAGTGAACAATGGAAGTCCGACTCTGGTATTCAAAAATACAAAAACGGTGGTTGATATAACTTTATGTTCATCAGAAATAATTAATAAGATAAAGTGGGAAGTGCAAAAGGAGTCACTGGGATCTGATCATTTTCCAATCCATGTTGAACTTAATGTGAAAAATGACAAATATATAAATACATCAGTAAGAAAATGGATTGTAAACGAGCAGACTGGGATAAATATAAATCCGTTATAGAAGAAAAATGCGAAAAGATAGATAATTCTACAACAGAAGTTAGTTATAGTGAATTATTAGATTGGATTGATAGTGCAGCTAACAGCAGTATACAAATTAATAAGGTGAGGAATAAAACCAGAAGACCAATGTGGTTTGATAATGAGTGCTTGGATTTAATTAAAAAACGAAGAGAAATAGAAGCAAAATACAGAAATAATGCAAACTGGGAAAACTTTATGGAATGTAATAGATTCAAGGCAAAAGTAAGAAGAATTTTCAAATTGAAAAAAAGAGAAAGCTGGAATAATTATATAAATAATATAAAACCTAAAACGCCCGCTAGGAAAGTTTTCAAAATGGTAAGATCTATGCTAAATATGGGTGAATCGGGAAATGTATCAAAATGTAGTGATGATGTATTAGATGTTCTAGTAGACAAAATAGCACCACCAGGAGTTAGTTACAATATTGATGAAGATTTAAATGGGTATGCGGAAATGGAAAATGATTTATTAAGTAAACCGTTTACAAAATGGGAACTAGAAAAAACCTGGAATAAAAGAACGGATACAGCGCCTGGATTAAATAATATTCAATATTCAATGTTAAGAAACCTTCCAGAGAAAGGTAAACAAATATTACTAAAGATAATTAATAAATATTGGAAGAGGCCTGAATTAATTGATGACTGGCATATTAATAAAGTGATTTTATTAAAAAAACAAATATAAATAGAAATGAAATAGATGCCTATAGACCAATAACTTTAAGCTCGTGCATAGCCAAGATAAAAGATAGATTGATAAAGAGGAGGCTAGAATGGTGGTTGGAACATAATAAAATATTCCCAAGAACTCAATTTGGTTTCAGAAGAAAACATAGTACAATGGATAATTTAAGTATATTTATTAGTGACATATATTTGGCATTTTCTAAAAATACATATGTTGTAGCACTATTTAGTGATATAAAGGGAGCTTATGACAATGTAATACCTAATATTTTAATGGATAAATTATTAAAGTTAGGTTTGCCATTAATTTTTGTACGAAGTATAATTTATAATGTTTTCCAAAGAAAAATAGTTTTAGAGATGAATGATAGAAAATATGAAAGATACTTATACAAAGGACTTCCGCAAGGGGGTATACTGAGTCCTTTATTATATGCTTTATATGCTTATGATTTAGAAAAAATTTGGGTACCTGGAACAAAGATCTTACAATATGCTGATGATGTTGTGATTTATGTAGAAAGGAAAACATTAAAAGATGCTTTGGAGATTATGACAAACAATATTGATTTATACAATTTATGGTTGAGCAAAAATGGTTTAACATTATCAGAAGAAAAAAGTACGATTGGTATATTCACTAGACATAATAAAAGAAATTTCCCAACAAGCATTCAAACAAAAAATTATAATATAAAAGTTCAAGAAATAAATAAATTTTTAGGAATTTATCTAGATCAAAAGTTGGCATTCAAGACACATATAGAAAGTATTAAAAAAAGACAGAAAAAAGTATAAATATATTAAGAATGTTAAATAAAACTTGGAATGGTTTACATCCAAGTACAGCATTAAACCTATATAGAGTATTAATTCGACCAAAATTAGATTATGGCTCTTGGATATTTAGTAACAGTAGAAAAATTCAAGATTTAGACAAGATTCAATATCGATGTCTTAGAATATGTATAGGAGCAATGAAGTCAACGCCAACAAATGTATTATTATTGGAAAGTGGAGAAATGCCATTAGAAATAAGACGAAAGCTCTTATGTGATAAATATATTTTGAAAAACATAATAAATAATGAATCTGTGTTGAATTACAAACTGATGGAAATATGGAGAAGTATAGACAGGAGCACATATTGGATAAACAAAAAAGTACCAGGTAAGAAATTTAGAAAGAAGAATTTAGAAAATTTAACGTAGTCCATGGAGTTCATCCATATTATGAAAAATTGTATTATAATAAAAGAACGATTGTAGTCAAAAAAGAGTATGAAAAGTGGATAGAACACGATGGACCTAATAGTATAATTTATATACGGATGGGTCGAGAAATAATGTTTCACATAGAGTTGGATGTGCAATATGGATTGAAAAGGAAAAAATTCCCATTGTTATAAACTCCCGGAGTTTATTTCTATTTATTCGGCAGAACTAATAGCTATTCGTGAAGCTGTTAGAATAGCTAAAATGAATAAGTATAAAAAAACTATGATTTTAACAGATAGTTTAAGTTGTGTAAATAAATTAGAAAAGTTCATGAATACAATAGAATTTGAAGAAAAAATATATTTTGAAATATTGAATGATATAGAGATAATTACAGGGATTGGAAATAACATAAATATTGGATGGGTACAAGGTCATATAGGTGTGGAAGGAAACGAAAAGGCTGATGAACTGGCAAAAACAGCAAGTGTAAGCGGACAAGAATATAATAAATGCTTATATGGTGACATAATTAAGAAAATTAAAATTAAATCAGAGGAGAGATGGAGAAGAAGTATGGAGAGAAACATCGCAAAGAAAAGGAAGGCATTACAAATTATATAATGACTGTTTATCGTTTAAACCATGGTTTGAGGAGTTTAAAAATGAAGAAAGAAGATTTATTGTCACCATCAGTAGGATAAGAACCAAACACGGAAGCTATGCGAAACACTTGCATAGAATAAAAGTGATAAATTCAGATATATGTGAATGTGGAGAGGAAGAAGGTACTCTGGAACATATAATTCTGGAATGTAAAAAATATGAAGAAAACAGAAAGAGAATGTTAAATTATATATATAGAAATTTAGATATTATCAAACCGTTTAACTTAGATCTATTAATTTGTAATAAGAAAAGCTATAGAGTAATATATGAATTTTTAGTTAGATCAAAAATTAAAATATAAATATGTATATTTAAAATTATATAGAAAATATTTAAGTTAAAATGTATGTTATATGGCTAATTGTATAATAAGAGGAAGCCAATAAAAAAAAAAAAAAAAAAAAAAAAAAAAAAAAAAAAAAAAAAACTTGCTTTCAAGAAAAATTCCACTTACACCTTTTAAGTTATTACATTTATACTTTTATAGTTTATTATATCTATATAAAGTTCAGAATAAACTATACATTAAGTTTATGTTTTGTAAATATGTTAGGGTAAGTTACAGTACTTATAAGTAATCGCAAAACAATTGAAAATCAAAAATTTAACATATCGTTACGTTTCAAAAATGTCCAAAAAGTTTGGCATTTTAGAAAAATTTGATGTAAGTGTGTGTCGTCGCATACAAAATTTTATCTACGATTTCGTGAACACGAAACAACCGATTAGAATAATTCAATAAGCATTCGATTTGAATATGCTGATTAATTTTTGGAAAGGCTGACTCAGCCGTTTCGAAGATATGGGGCAAAAGGTGCCAAAAATGGTAACTCAGTTCTTGAGATAACGGAGCGTTCGAAGTAATTGTGATTTAAAAAAACATAACAAAACACAAAACAAACAAACCAAACAAACAGCGGTTTTGGAGATCAAATAAAAAATAAAAAAATGCTCTTAGCGGTCAAAATTGATCATTGGACATATGTACATCAAATTATCGGATATTTTATAAAAAAATTAACAAAAAGAACTAATTAGGTTTACGTTTGCAATGGGTTTCGTACCAATGTCTATCCGTTAGACTACAATGCGGCGCTTACGCGCTTTAATAATTCGTCCCTACGAAGCGATTGCTTTGAAAAGAAGTTCAAAATTTTCTAAAGTTTTCATAATATATGAAATTCCAGTAATCAGTACGGAAAGTTTCAGCAATTTGACTTAAGTCACAATGCCATGCACCACTAGTTTAACATTTTTCTTGATAAAGACTAATTTGGCATTCTCTATGTAGAATTAAATATTGCATATAGAATGTATGATAAGCGCATCGTACAGTTTTTTATTCTATATAGAGAATGGCAAATTAATAATTATAATTATTATAATTATTAAAATTAAAATTATAATTTCATTTATAACCGTAAATTGTAATAGTGTATTGTAATATTCCGATAACATTAGAATACAATCCATTTTGCAACCGTTATAATATATATATATATATATATATATATATATATATATATATATATATATAAAATACTTAAAATTAAATGAAAAAAAAACACATTTCAAGAAATGTCTTTAAAGTTTATACATTTAATGATTTATCAAATGCAATGTAATTTCTACTAAGGAGAACAAAACTTATTCAGTTAGCACAATAACGTCTTTAAGTTATGGTCTAGAAATAATGTAGACATAGTCCTAGATTCAATACTAGATAAGATTAGAAGATTATTTTATGTTTGATCTAATATGTATAGTTTAATTTGATTAGTTTATAAAACTACCTGGATCAAGTCTATTTAAGTTTAACCGTTTTCTAAATTAAGTACTACTTAACAACAATAATATTAGGACCACCACTGGGCGGCCTGATATGCCCTTTCTATTTATATTAATCAAACAAATTACTAGATGTCATATTTATGGACAGTTGAAATTACTAAATGAAATAAAAAAAAATCAACTGAAAATTTCCTTATAAAAAGTTATAGTTTGATAGTTCTAAATAAAAACTGAATTACATACTACTAGTAAATTCAAATATAAATATATTTACCAGGTGATGAATTTACATGTTTGATCCAAAATATTATGAAAATAATTTTGCTCGCTCTAAAACGAAAAATATACCAAGGTGAAAGCAAATGTAAGCAAAACAAAGCACGTTGAGGAAAACCTTCCTGCTTCCTATTCCCTTCATCCAGAATCTTCCGATAGAGGTTATATTTTGTTTTTTAAATATTCGCAGCGCACAACCGTATCACTTTCATCGTTCTGCGTTTTATTTGAATATTTTTGCTTTTCCCTGGCACGCTTGTCCTGTTAGCGATTGTATTATTCGACTTCCTCGTAGCCTTTTTCCATTAGGACATTCCCTTTGGCTTCGAGGTGGGAAATATCGCTACAGTCGAAGGAATACATCAAAAGGACTAAAAATATACTCTAAGCACCGAACTACGCCGAACTGATAATACTCCAGTCCTTTGGGACACCTTGGACCGGCAGGAGGAAGAATGAATGCGTTTGTGTGCCACTAAATACTTAAATCGCATAAGCATGCTACAAGGATGCGAGCATGCAAAGAAAGAAAAGCTATATACATCCTATTCAATTGGATTTTAAAAATAATTACTTTTAAAACTAATCAATTTCCCGTAGAGTAAATTATAGTAATCGCAAAAAAATCGAAACTGAAAATTTTTGTCTATCTTTACGATTCAAATCTTCTTTTTGTATGTGTGTGTGTATATGTGCGGATCCAATGATATTATTCAGCAAATTTCGTTTGCTAATTAATTGCAAATATTGCAGATCATTGCAATTTATTCACAAACAACAAAAACAATATATAGGTTCTTAACCCCTATGGTGAGTTATAGTAATCGCACAAAAATCAAAAATTATTTTCTTTATATATCTTTACGTTTCAAATGTTTGTGAACATTTTGGCATACCTTAGAAAAAATAGATGTATGTGTGTGTGTATGTATGTGTATGCGGATACAAATTTTCTTCGACGATTTTGGAAACGAGGATCATCTGATTTGAATAATTCAAAAAACATTTGATTCGTATTGATAAGGAGACGTGCTGATTAGTTTTCCGCAAGGGCAGGTTTAGCCGTTCCGACAATACAGAGCAAAAAATGCCAAAAACGATAATTCAGTTTTCTTTCACACAAAAAACATTTTATTTGTATTGACGAAACGAAAAACTGATAAAATTTTTTGGAAGGCAGGTCTAGTTTTTTCGGAAATCCAATAAAAAAAGTGTAAGAAATGCCATTTGGCGGACAAAAATGATAATTAGACATATGCACATCAAATTATCGCGCTTCAATATTTTGTTTCAATGCAGTTAACTTATCGGGATTGCTTTGAAAAAAAAGTTCAAAATATTTCAAAGTATAAAATAAATCTAATTTTTCAAAATGATCAACTTTTTTTTAAAAAAATTTTTAATAAACTAAAAAAAAGTTTTAAAAGAAAATAGAATCTTATTTAAAAATTTTAGTCTTTGGTTCGGTAAGTTTCAGTAATTTGCCTTAAAGCACGGTGCCATGCACCACCAATTTATAGTTTTACTTTACTATAGTGTTACTTATCCTGCGCGATAATAACATTTTAAGAAATTTTTATAATGTCCAGAAAATTATCTGGTGCATGGTATGGTGTAAACACTTAAATCAAATATTATTTATGTTTATATTACGTACGTCAAAGCCATGAACACAAAAAGCATAATATTTTTCTATAGAGAGAAGAAAATGAAATATTTCTCTTTGAGCATTGACATAATACATTCCAAAATTAATTAAACATGTTTCTTGCTAGCTTTGAATCTGATGTGTTGTTATAAAAGAAAAAATTAGGATGCATTTTACTTCATAACATTTTCTACGAACAATAATATCAAAGCAAAAATCCAGCGTTGAAAAGTTTCTATGTATTTTGTATATATAAAAAATAATTCTATACTATACAAACCAGATGATGTCTGATAGGAGCGTTGGCTGTAATATGTAAATTGAGTGACTTATCACCGTATAATTTTTTATGCATAATTTTCAAGGCAATCACAAATTCTTTTATCCAATTTCTCTAGTAATTTTATACAAAACGGGCTAACTTCGCATACAAAATTATTTTCTATTAGGAGCACCTGACGCCTATTTTTACACCATAGAAATCACGTACTCGATGTATTGATATGTCTAGACACGTTTTCGATAGTAATTCACAGTTTTCAAAGACGTGGGTCATGCAAATTCATTATTAGAACGTGAACTTTATATAGATGAACAATAAGTGCAATATCATTATTTTCTAATTTTATTCGTATTGATAATAATTATAAAAAAATATAGACCTACGACAAGTAAATAACAAAAATTTATTGAAATTTGGAATTATGGGCCGCACTTTTAGAACATTCACAAGCAAATTCTTGTTCATTTTTTGCACCTTAATATTAGGTTTACCGGAAAGTTCATCAAACATTTTTTTAAGAACAAAAGCAGATAATAATTAGAAGTCGTATGTAATCTATTTCACATCCCCACTTATCATCCAGTGCTCTATTTTGTTCCGAGCAAACAATGATGAGATTATTACAGCCATATATCCAAATTTTTCCGACTTTTACATGTGGCACGCAAGTTGAATATTTACACACCAATCTTATCTTTTGAATGTGGTCAGAAATGATCTGTTGAGCTACATTATGCATTTCTGCAATGTCAGATTTAAGAATAGGATCCTTGCTCCAACATTACCTTAACAATACTTACTCGATTAAAACAGAAAGGTCAAAATTAATAGTTTCAAATTTTTTCACCAAAAATCGGTATACTTAAAAATTACTCAAAAATTATATTTCTAATTTCACAAGCCGAGATTTTCATGCAACTTGCACCATCCTTGGCATAACGTATCATAAACTGTACCATCACCAAACTATCAATAAATTTCCATTGGCATATCTTCCTTGTTAAGGTTTGTATAAAATATAGGGCCGTAAATGGACTTTGCCAATTGCCCCAATTATACTATCGTTTTACACGTAAAACTAATGTGAATCAACTTCATTAAAGTTTATTTTCTACATCTATACATATATATATATATATATATATATA